AAGTTGGTGAGCATTCAAGCATTTTTTTAAATGCTTAAAAAAAAACTTATGTAAATGGAATGGGGGGATGTAGGAGGCCGATAATCAACTAGGGAAAGTCCTCGAGGAGATTGATAGGTGTGGAGGCAGAAATGGAAACTTGATCTCAGGTGAAGAGATTCATTTCTGAAGAGAAGTGTGGGTGGGGGACAGGTGTGGGTTGTTGGGGTTGCAGGTGAATTTATAGCTGGGGAGTATTTGAAGCTTTTGGATTCTCATCTGAAGGATTCAATTTCAATTAAGTAATAAGGACAGGGCTGCTTTGGAGAACATACGATAAGTCTTGCAGCCAGAGAGTAATTTAAGAACTCTTAACAAAGGAGAGAAAATTTACATGGATCATGTTTTAAAAGATTGTAGACCACCCTAATGGGTGGGGACTATAACAGTTTTCTGTTGTTCCCCTGGTAGCAACATACATTTTCTTGGAAATCTGTAAGACTGATTACTCTCCTGCCCTTCCAGAGTTCTTTGTTCATACAGAAAGGATAGCACTTATGTAACCTTGTGTTATAAAAGGTACATATCATTCTCCCAAGTGAGAATTGTAAGCTTTTCAAAGATAATTCATACTTTTTTTCATCTTTGTATCCTCACATCCTATCACAATGTTTCAGATCAGATAATTCTCAGTTAATGTTGCCTGCAGTTTTTAAATTTCTGAGCTGGACCTGTGGACTGTGTCTTCCATGTACTGAGCCTTCTTGGCGACTACATATTATCTGTTTTCAGGACTGTGGAATGGGAGGTGGTCTAAGTTGGTGATCTGCATTAACAGAAATTGTAAATGGCCAATAGTTTGGGAATTTAATATAAATAATCTTCCCATTTTTAAAAAATTTCTTGGTAACTCTGCATCACTGATGCTCATATTTATATCTTTCTATATGATTTAGACTGCTATAAGCCTATCTTGATTATTCAGAATTTCCTCATTCATGTTAATTATCTATGTTCCCTTATTTTCTCTCTATATTTCAAATCTTTTCTTCACTTTGCTCTTCCATCAGAATGCAGTAGGCAAAAAGAAAACCCAGATCATAATTTTATTATGTAACAGTGTTTTAATAAGTGTTTTTAGAAGATAAAGTTGTGGTTAACAGCAGGTAGAGTGATGTTGTTGGACTACCCTTACTTATTAATTATTAGTGCAAGCCTTATTCAGGTTTTGGTTTGTCCATGTCAATTTTTTTTGAGTTTTATTGACAGCCTTAATTCTTTTTAAATTGCTTTAGCTGTAAGATTTTTTTTATTACGGCAAATAATGAAGTGCAATTAGTACTTCCTGTATTCTGTAGTAAATTCATTCACTGGGCATGAGTTATGAAATTGTGAAGTGTTTGGTGACTACTTTTTACTTACCTTGAGCCTTCTAAAAAATGTTCACTAGGATAACTGAGCTCTTGTATCTTATTAAAGGATAATTTTTATTTTTACTTATTTATTTGTTCATTTACTTTTTGATGAGGCAAAATATGTAATGTATTTACAATCTAAAATAGAGTGCCCATACCCTTGCTATGATGATATACTTGGGGGATATACTTGGTGCAGAGAGGTTATAAAATTCATGTCCTTTGTTGTCTTATTATAATTATAGAACTATACATCCACATAGGTTTTTTAAAGTTTCATGTTGTGCCACTAACATGATCTCTCACAAAAGATATCACATGTATTTGACATTTTTATAGCACATTTATCGTGGCTCTAAGAGGCCAAGTACTGGTTAATGATTCTATTCTGATTTCCAAGGGCCAATTCTAGGGGTGAGTTTCCTGTTGGATTATTTATAACCAAGGAATTAAATGGCGAGTTTTGGAGCATCTTGGTCTAACTTCAAATTGCTTTGCAATGACTACAATAAATATGGAGTCTTTAGAATTCCTTGACTGTTCCATTTGGTGGGGTGATCCATCAATTTTTTGGATAATCTTTTCTTCTTAAAGGGTAATTTTTAGAAAGTAATACTTTGACTCAAACAAATATAAAGTGAACATGTGTCAAAGATTCTATTTCATGCATTAATAAGCAAACCAGCAAGATGGTGAGACCATCTTAGTTTTTAAAGAACGTTGGAAGAACGGACACATTTATAGGCAATCAGGAATCCTGAAATGAATTTGTGAAGATATGCAAATTGGTCGACATCCCTAGGGCAATAAAATGTAATTTATAGAAATCCTGTCTTCCACCAGGTGGAAATCAATTGCGGAACAAAGTTTATTTGTATCTCTACGAACATGAATTACTTGCATTACCATCAGTTGTTAAATACCTCAGTCAAACACAGTGAAAGGCACAGGCCCCTGTAAAATCAGATATTCCCGAAGGACCTGTCAGACAATGCCCGGAGCTCCACTGAAGAGACACTGAGAAATCCTTTTGTCCATTACAAAATTGTTCTCCATATTTTCTGACTCATTCTTTCTTTTCTAATTCCAACATCACAGCCAGCCACTTTTCGGTCTCCTTGTTTGTATACTTTCTATAGCCTCTCTCTCAAAGCCTCCTTCTCAGGGGAAATAATTCTGAACCCCATGGTTTTGAAAAATGCAATTGGAAGTCCAGGTTTTGCCTGGGGCCTCCTAATATTTGGATGGCTAGAAATGCAGGGAACTGGGAAGAAGCGACTGTGGATGCCCGCAAGCTTGGTTCAGACTGCAAATTCCCAGAAAACTCATATAACATTCGCACCTGCTAGTCAGAGAAGGTCAATAGGTCATTCATTATATAAAACTGCTGTTGTACCTAGTTTTTATAGTATTACCTGGTACGTTTGTAGCACGGTATCGTTTGGAGGGCGCTTGCCCATATGTTTTTCTCTTTTGACGCCCGCCACTATTCTGCGATGTAGTCTACTGTTCATTTTTGATCCTCTTACTTACAGAGAATACACCAAGACATGGAAAAGTTAGGCAGATTGCTTAAGATCACATACCGAAAAGTGACAGATAGGACTTGTACTCAGGCTTTCTGAACACTGACCAATTTGTATTTCACTATGTGTGGGGGCAGCTTTGCCCGCAAAGTCCCCCAGTCTGCCATGGATGAAAGTGAAACTACCAACATATCACCTGCTTGGGGAGGAGAGGTGGCCCGTCCCTCAAAGGAGAAGGGCCAAGAGCCCCTTCCTCAAGGGGCTTTTATCGGATTTGTTTGCACAAGAATACAGGTAAGGATCAAACAATAGATAGCATTCAAAGAACTATGAGGGCTTATTCTCAGTCAGGGTCAGATAGCTAACGAGCCATAAAACTTTGTGGAACAGACTTCTTGCTTGGGCCCTTATCATTTAAATGAGAGCATTCTAAATAAAGCAGGTTTCACAGGATTTTTACACATTCTTTCTCATGCCTGATTTACCCTGGATACCCACCCTTTCCAGCACAGGGCTGCACCGACTTCCTCATCAAAGATTTTTAGGCTTAAATGGATTAGAGCCAGAAAGAGCTTCTCCCAGACGGAAATGGGGACTTGGGCTATGTCACAATAGCCAGGGGGATGAGGGTCCATCACTCCCTCCTTGTTGCAGCCCCCCCACCCCAAAGTCCTCCCAAGTGATCTTGTCTGGCCTAGGTTGCCCCTCCTCTGAGGCATCGTACCTGCCATGGACATTGACCATGCTTTGGGGGCAGGGGCAGAAGCAGCGCTTGCTGCCAGAGACAAGCTTTGTCTCCTGTGGCCACAGTCCGGAGGTCGCTCACTTAGCCATGGGAGGCTGTTACAATTCCTGAAACCAGGCAGGGCGGTTCCCCAAAACTATGCATCCTAGCTTTCAATTTAATGGACATTTATTCAACATGCGTGTTGAATAACGACATCCTGTGCTCCTGATTTTTATTCCCAATTTACATAGAAGGAAGACATCATAAGGATGAACTATTAGAGTTGACGTTTTATTTATATTTGTTAGTGCTTTGTTTTTTGAGGGAAAAACCATCTAGTTTCTTAGATAAAAGTGTTGGTAAATGGCTGAAAAATGTGGAAGACAATCACAATTTCTTCACAGTCTTGCACATTTTAGATGGAAGATGAGTGATCGCATTTACTTTCCCATTCCCCATGTCGTATGACAAATGGTAGTTTATCCTGTTGAGAAGAGTTAGATAGAATACACCCTATTTATGAGCAGTATCTGTTCTTGGTTTCCACTCGTTTTTCAGCTTTATTTTGAGGGGTTTGTGGTTTCTACGAGGAAGGAATACCAGTAATAATTCATTTGGAAATTGTTTTTCTATAGTTTCAATGAAAAGTGGGGGTGAGAAAATGCCTTTTAATTGTATATAATCCTTTATAAAACTTGCACACAAAATGTCTATTGCCCTCTGTATTTTGCGATGGGGAAATAGCCACACAGAATATTTTTCTTCCTTGGCTTTCTAATATTTTTCATCTTAGTGGAAAGATGTGATGTGATTTATCTGATTTACTTTTTATATTGAAGTACAGAATACCTCACCACATTTCTTGGAAATGCTACATAAAGATAGAGATAAACTTCATATCACTTTAGCAAGTCCTATTTGGAGAAAGTATATAGAAGGTGAGACTGAATGTAATATTTGGGTTGATTTCCTCTTCAAAAATTTCCCATGGTAAGGAAAATATTTTTCTACATACCTGAGCAAACAGTAATGGTTACTTCAAAGTTCTGGAAGCTAGATGCTTGCATCTTCCAACACAGGTTCCTGAGTTTATTCCCAAGATGTATGGTAATGTGTACTTTGTATTAGTGAGAATGAAGAAGGAAAAGTTACAGTTTTGTCTACCAGCTGTGCATGTTTATATTAAAATAATTTGTTTCTTTTTTTCAACTTGCCTGTCTTCTCTCTGTAGGTGCACCGCTTACTTAAGTGAACAATTGAATCATTGCTCTTTTAGCTTAAGGATTTGTAGCATATCTAAAATACAGTATAGAATTCTCTAATAAAATGAGACTATTTGTTTTTCTCTTCCAGGTTCAGCCCAGCTAACATTTAATGCAGTCAAATCTGTAGAATACACCGCTTGCAATGACACTGTCATCATCCCATGCTTTGTTAATAACGTGGAGGCAGATAACCTTAAAGAAATGTATTTAAAGTGGAAATTTGGGAAAAGTTGGATTTTCATCTATGATGGAGATAGAGATGTTTCCAACCACAGCGAAGGCTACAGCAGTGCCGAGATCAACAAACTTGGATTGCTAAAGGGCATTGCAGCTTTGAAGATGAAAAGGAAGGATGCTGTCCCAGGAAACTACACTTGTGAAGTAACAGAATTAAGCAGAGAAGGTGAAACCATCATAGAACTGAAGTATCGTGAAGGTAAGCATTCTATAAAAGCTTCCTTTTCTGTTATTTGTCCTGCAGCAACCTGATGCTAATTAGAAATGGGGCAAAATGGGGCTGGGAACTCCTAGGAATCAAAAAATAGGCTATTAATAATAAATGTTTATGGAATGTTTAGCAGCTTTGAGGTTGAGTGTTATAGGATTTGCTCTCTGTTTTTCATAACAAAACTCCTTTGCTGTTTGGTATTTGTATATTGTATGGTTCTCAAACTTTTGATCTGAGAACTATTCTTTTGGAGTGAGTAGTCCTGAGGTCATCCACTCTGCATTTCTGTTTGCTGCTATCAAAAGTACTTTCTTTCATGTGATTAATTTTCCAGGTTCCTTCCAATTATTTTTTATTACCTACACGTTGTTCAAGGGTTGACAAGTCAAAGCCTTGTTCCAGCTAGGAAGAATCGATTAGAAGGAGAATCAAGAGATTAAAAATCGGGTTATAATAATGTTTCCTTGAGGTTTCCTCTGTTTAGCCTTGCTACGATGCTCTGTCTTTTTTTTTTTTTTTTGCGGTGGGAGGCTAAGATGTGGGAGATTGAGGGATCCAATGTAATTAATTTGAATTCAGCCTTGGGTATAGCACCACGATCCTGCCCATTCTTCACAGATTTGCTTTGGTGAGTTTCATAAAGCTGGAAAGTTAGCTGAAGTAAACAGTCTGCTTACTTATCTATTCCTTGCTGTACCAACTGATTACTTTACCCACAGATAGATGCATGCTGGCTTTCTGCTTTGAAAGCTCTATTTAGAACCACTAGACGTATTCCTGGTCTCAGGATTAGACAATTTTTTGAGAACCTCTGTTTTAGATGGCATCGGACAGTTCAGTCGGATCAACTATTTGCCTTCTATTCTTCTATCATTTCCAGTCTGTTACCAGATTGGGAATGGAGTGTTTTGTTTGATGGAATATCTTGACATTGCTTAAGATGAGGAATCAGGAAATCTGATTATATCTCCTATTATGCAACTTAACTATATTGACTTCACTGAGTCTAAGTTACCTCATCTCTAAAATGGGGATGAAAATAGATTCCTGTTTTTATGCACTCTATAGTCTAGTGAGCATCAAGTGAGACCCCTTGTGTGTGAGCCCTTTGTAAACCAAAGTACTTCCCAAATAGTTGTGTTGCTGGGATGTTTATGTTGTGAAGTAAGGTACTGAGTTGCTGAAGCCAGGGTAGGTATATATAATAACGAGCGGGATGATCATGCAGTGAAGAATGGGTGAGAGATGGGTTACAGCAGTCTAGCAGATTTTAGAAGGCTTTTAATATATTTTATTGATTATGCCATTACAGTTGTCTCATTTTTCCCACTTCACTCTGCTCTACCCTGCACATTCTCTCCCACCCACATTCCCCCCCCTTTGGTTTATGTCCATGGGTCCTACATATAAGTTACTTAGCTTCTACAGTTCCCATACTATTCTTACCCACCCCCTGTCTATTTTCTACCTACCATCTATGCTACTTATTCTCTATACTTTTCCCCCCTCTCTCCTCCCCCCACTCCCCTGTTGCTAACCCTACATGCGATCTCCATTTCTGTGGTTCTGTTCCTGTTCTAGTTGTTTGCTTTTGTTTTTGTTTTAGGTGTGGTTGTTAATAATTGTGAGTTCACTGTCCTTTTACTGTTTGTATTTTTTATGTTCTTTTTCTTAGATAAATCCCTTTAACATTTCATATAATAAAGGCTTGGTGATGATGAACTCCTTTAACCTGATCTTATCTGGGAAGCACTTTATCTGCCCTTCCATTCTAAATGAAAGCTTTGCTGGATAGAGCAATCTTGGATGTAGGTCCTTGCTTTTCATGACTTGGAATACTTCTTTCTAGCCCCTTCTTGCCTGTAACGTGTCTTTTGAGAAATCAGCTGACAGTCTGATGGGAACTCCTTTGTAGGTAACTCTCTTCTTTTTTCTTACTGCTTCTAAGATTCTCTCCTTATTTTTAATCTTGGGTAATGTAATTATGATGTGCCTTGGTGTGATACTCCTTGGGTCCATCTTCCTTGGGACTCTCTGAGCTTCCTGGACTTTCTGGAACTCTATTTCCTTTACCAGTTCTCCTTTATTATCTGTTCAAATAATGTTTCCACTTGTTGCTCTTCCTCTTCTCCTTCTGGTACCCCTATAATTCAGATGTTGGAATGTTTAGAGATATCTTGGAGGTTCCTAAGCCTCTCCTCATTTTTTTGAATTCTTGTTTCTTCCTTCTTTTCTGTTTGATTGTTTCTTTCTTCCTTCTGGTTCACTCCATTGATTTGAGTCCCAGTTTCCTTCCCATCACTATTGGTTCCCTGTAGATTTTCCTTTATTTCACTTAGCATAGCCTTCATTTTGTCATCTAATTTGCTACCAAATTGAACCAATTTTGTGAGCATCCTGATCACCAGTGCTTTGAACTGTGTATCTGATAGGTTGGCTATCTCTTCATCACTTAGTTGTATTTTTTCTGGAGCTTCAATCTGTTCTTTTGTTTGGTAAACACATTGCCTCCTTGCACAACCAAAAGAAGGACAACAACAATTTAAAAACAAAAAACAACCAGAACTGATAGAAAATTGAACTGTATGGAAGTCCGACAACCAAGGAGTTAAAGATGTATTCACCCAGACCCGTAGGCGGGGTAGAGTGGGGCAGCTGCGGCAGAGAGGACTTGCAGCAAGGTGGCGGCTGGTGAAGCGGGTGGTCCCACAATCACTCGCAGATAAACCAGGAGGAATAAGTGGGGAGCAAGAGAGATCACACAACCCAGAGCTCTGGCACGGGGCAATAAAGCCTTAATCCACTGATTGAAAACACCTGTGGGGGTTGAGGTGCTGGAGAAACTCCCAGCCTCACTGGAGAGTTCATTGGAGAGACCTAGAGGGTCCTAGAACATATGCAAACCCACCTACCCGGGGATCAGCACCAGAAGGGCCCAATTTGCTTGTGGGAAGCAGGGGAAGTGATTGAAGTCTGGCAGAGAGTGGAGCAAGTGGCAAGCCCCATCGTTCCTTCTCGGACCCCTGCCCCACACACGTTGTCACAGTGCAGCAACGTGGGTTAGCCCTCCCGGTGAACACCTAAGGCTCTGCCCCTCACTATGTAACAGGTGTGTCAAGACAAAAAATATGGCCCAAACGCCTCCATCTTGGCCGGAAGTCTCATTACTTTGATATTAAGTTGAGTTACATTTTTTTTAAAGTAAGCTTTTTAGGAGGGGTCAAATCATTGAGTCATATGCACTGTGAGAGACTAGAATTATATAACCTAATATCTAGTTGAAATTTTTCTGAGGGGAATGTACAGTTTCATAGGAATGAAAAAATAAATAAATGGGAGTGGCAATTTGAGAAGCTAGTATAGGTCACTGAGAGGAAAACTGGTAAACTCAAGAGACTTGAAAGGCTAGAAGATGGATGGGAAAGTAGTAACAATATCTGAGATAAAGACAAAGTTTATAATTTTATGTGTGATTGTTTCATCTTTGTTTTCAAAGTACTCTATAAAAATATGAACTATGCTTACTGTTGCGGCCATTAAAATGAGAAGGTGTGGTTTTGTTGTAGGGAATGTAAAAAAATTATATCAAAGGACTGTGACATTTGGCTTTACACCCATTTCTATTTTTTTTAAAATAACTAATACAGTCACAGAAAGTTTCAAAGATAGAAGAGAGGTGCTTTGTGCTCTTTACCTAGCTTCCCCCAATGTTTACATTTTGTATAAAGGTAGTTAAATGTCACAGCCAGCAAGTACAAAGAGATACCATGTATACACTACATGATTACCACCACAATCCGAATATTTCATCGACCCAAAAATCTCCCTTATGCAACTGCTTTATAGTCAGTTCCTCCATTTGTTTGCCATGTCTATACTTTTGTCATTCCAAAAATGTTACGTAAAAGTATGTAACCTTTTTTATAAGGTTTTATTTATTTATTTTTAGAGAGAGGGGAAGGGAGGGAGAAAGAGTGGGAGAGAAACATCACTGTGTGGTTGCCACTCACATGCCCCCTACTGGGGACCTGGCCTGCAACCCAGGCATGTGTCCTGACTGGTCATCGAACTGGTGACCTTCAGTTCACAGCTCACACTCAATGCACTGAGCTACACCAGCCAGGGCGTATGTAACCTTTTGAGATCGGCTTTTTTTCCCTCAGCCCGGTGCCCTTGAGATCCATCCATGCTGTGGCATCATGTATCAGGTCTTTGTCTCCTCTCCCACCCCCAGTCCCCACCCCGTGCACTGAGTAGTACTCCATGGTATGGAGATGTCACAGCTTGTGTAACCGTCTACCTGCTGTGGGGCATTTTCATTGTTCCCTCTTGTTTTTGGCTATTATAATGAAATTGCTATAAACATATGAGTTTTTATGTGGACATAGTCCTCATTTCCCTGGGTAAATGTGCAGAAATACAAACACTGGGCTGTATGTAACTGTAGGCTTAGTTTTTAAAGAAACTGCCAAACGTATCCCAGAGTGATTATTCCATTTTTTCATTCCCATCAGCAACGTATGAGTGATCTAACTCCCCCACATCCATGCCAGCATCTAGTGTTGTCACTGTTTTGTACCATTTTTGACTGGAAAAAAAAATGAAACTCCTCTGCACAAAAAAGGTTAATTGAAGCCGGGCTTTTGCAAATTTATTGTGATACATTTGCTTTCCCATCCTTTGAACTTTGGGGATTAAGCAATAGAATCCATTTTTACTGTGTTGTGTGTTTTGCAAAGATTGGCATAGATGAGAACTAGAAATTGCTTAATGGAGAATTCAGCTTAATAGAATGTAGATTAATGGTGGCCATTCTTTGTTCCCTGTTGGGAAGCACAGGACTGACTCTGTGGAAATATTATCAATGAGGCAAAGTTTTGTTTGTTTTTTGTTTTTTTAGATTTTATTTATTTATCTTAGAGGGGAAGAAAAGGAGAGAGTGAGAGAAACATCAATGTATGGTTGCCTTTCATGCATCCCCTGCTGGG